GATGAATGATGTCGTCGTTGAGCACTTCCTGGACTTTATCTTAATCACCTTCCTTTCCTTTAAGGAGACTCTGTACGGCGATTGGTGGACAGGGAGCGCGTCGTCGTCGGTAACAATGCGATGTTTCGCCATTGGTGTTTTGCGAACTTTCGACGACGTGGCGAAAGTCACTGTATTCGGCAAGGAGATTAACCAGTTGCCGGCGCTTAGGAGCCGGGAACTCGGGGTCCATGTCGAGCTGCAGCGGCGACGTGCTCTTCTGCTGGGACGACGAGGTTTCTTCAGCGATTCCGGTGACCACGGCTGGCGCCTGAAGCTCCTCGACGTGTCCCACGATAGTACCCTTCGTTAGGTGCTGCGACTCCTCTCTAAAATTTCTAACGAGAACACGTCCTTCTTGGAGATCCGTTACGCCTCGTGCGATGCCAATTCCTTTTTCAAGGAGCAGTTTGGTGCTGCCTTCCAGAAGAGCTTCACCGTGTGTGGCTGCATCGGTTATGACGATTACGAAAACACTCGCCCGCGGCAGCAGGTTCACATGGTTGGCAATAACTCGGATCGCGATTGACGTCGTGTCCGTCTCCACCGCCGGCAGAACAGGCTTTCGCAGCGTCAGCTGGTTTGCCGCGATGACGATGACGGCGCCATGCTAGCAAAGAAAGTCCATTCCGAGGATGACGGCCGTTGAACACTCTTGCAGAACGACGAACTTCACAGGGCATGTCTCACCGTGGATATTGATCTCCCGACTGGTGTGATGAGGTGTCCACCGGCGGTTCGTATTTGAATGCCTTCCCACGGCGTCATGACTTTTCTTAGGCGGCGGGAGAGCCTCCCACTCAAGACATAGTATTCTGCTCCGGTGTCCACGAATGCTGATACGTCGTGGCCGTCCATAATAAAGTTTAGGTTGTCGGACACCGAAGCAGGAGCGTCGTTGCAAGGCGCAGCGTCGGGAGACTGGGAGCGCTCCGTCGTTCTTGGAGGCACTTTACTTCGGTCGTCTTCGGCAACGCCACCTCTAGGCGTTGCCGCACTTAGTTTTCCCGGCGACGCAGGGGAGACAGGCTCTCTTGGCGGGGTCGTGGCGCTGGAGGTGCTGAACGTCTGGGCGACGTTGAGCGGGATCGACTGCGTAGAGGCGATGCTGAGGATGGCGAATGTCGAAGGTACTCCTGAATGTCGTGACGGCGTTCGCCGTACCTCGGTTTTGGGTCGTTCGGGTGGAACCCACCTAGCCCAAGTCGGCGGTAGTGGCATCCACGATAGACGCAGTTGGCTTCCGCGCAGTGGTATGAGAGAGGGCGTCGATCGGCCGTTCGCCACAGGTCGGTCTTTCTTGAGACCGACCTGTGGCCCGATCTTCCTGGTGTCGGGGATGCTGCGGTTCTGGAGGCTCACGTCGGGGGGCCGCCATGTACGGGTGTGGGGCTGGTGGCGCTCGTCGGACCATTGCGGCGTAACTAAGGCCGGGCTCCTCCGGTGTTGCTACGGTGACAGGAGTCTCCGGCTGGAAGGCTCGGTGAACCTACTCTCGCACGACTTCGAGAAGACGAGCGACCTGCAGTAGGTAGGATCTTGCGGAGCTCTTCTCGCATGATATCCCGGACGATCTCCCGAAGGCTTTCGACACCGCTGGTATTTGGGTCAGTAGGGAAGCTGCGGCGTTTGGAGCAGTAGGCGCGCCAGCGAGTCGGTTGTAGTTACTTGCTGGGCCGTCAGTGCGCGCTTGATGTTGGTGGCTTCAGTCACAAAAGCATCGACGGTCACCGGGGGATTGTGGACCAGGCCTCCGAAAATTTCTGCCTTGACGCCACGCGTGGGGACTCGAAGTTTCTTTTCCTCGGCGGCCTCCGGATCGGCTCAGGCACTTAGACGGAGGGCATCATCAACAAAGCTGTTCACGCCTTCGTTGGGGCCCTGCACTCTTGTTTAAAGAAGGTCCTCTTCTCTCTGGCGACGGTAATGGTTAACGATCGCCCGCTTCTGTTCGGCGACGCAGGACTTCCATGTAGTTAACGAGGCTTCGTGGGTTTCAAACCAGTGTTTCGCGGTGCCTTCAAGCGAAAAGTAGAAGTTGTGGAGGCACTGCTATGCCGTCCATTCGTTGTGGCGGGTCACTCATTCGTAGTGTCACAGCCAGTCTTCAATGTCCTTGTGGACCTCCCCGTGGAAAGGCGTTGGAGATCAAGGTACGACAGGCAGGACGACGACAGACGGGGTGGTTATGGTCGAGATCTTCCTCTTTCGGTTCTCAGGCAAGAGACCGATATCGGGAGACTGACCTTTGGTACGACGGCTTCGTCGGACTTCGGCGTCTTCGGCGAAGGGCAGCGTTCAGGGGCTGAGCAAGTCGTTTGGCCGAGATGTCTTCCGAGGGGTACGCTCAACGGGCGTAGAATGCAATACCCCGCATCTCCACCAAAATGTCACGGATGGTGACCAAAAGAACAGTAAATACACAGGAAGAAATAAACGTTTAATGTGGCAAACTTGTGCCCAAAAACATAATAGAAAAAAAAACCGCATCTCCACGTGGTGAATGATGTTGATTGGGGCGAAGCTTTGGTGGTGCTTGTGTGCGTAGACGCTGAGCCGCAGCATCCCGAGCCTTTCGTTCGTTTTCATCCATGTCACGCTGCGGTCAAGTGCTCAAATGCGTATATAACCACGTTCCATACCACATATTCTCTTTCTGACATGGATGAAAAGGAACGAAAGGCTCGGCATGCTGCGGCTCACCGTCTACGTAGACACGCACCACCAGAGCTTCACCCCAATCAACATCATTCACCGCGTGGAGATGCGGTTGTTTTTTGTTGCCTTGCACGAGCACGGCAGCACGTGCTCACGTGCTCGTGAGCACGAGCTCCCGACGCCAGACATCGGATGGACATACGGACATCCCCGTTTCACCTTATGTTGTACCGCAGAGAAGGCTATAATCGCGAGCTCATAGCGTTGGGAGCTGGTCTTAACGCACGAGAGCTTGTGCCGCCGAGATGTGCCTTATAGCAAGGAGCTGGCGCTTGTAGCCTTTCCAGCAGTACATCATAAGGTGAAACAGAGTATAAGGAGCTTCGCCCCTAAAAATGATAGCGTCGCAGGTGTCGATGACGGCGAAACAGCAGGATCGAACGCTGGGGCGAGACTGACTCCGCTCACCTTGCGGAGTCCCTTATGTACACTCGTCGATTTCTGGATCATTCGGAGTAGAACTTTCGTTGCGTAGAACATTCCGAACTTGATCAGACAAGAATGTTCTCGAACTTACGAGAAGCCCAAGTTGAAAGAGTGAATAAAAGGAAAGTCCGCTGACTTTCAGACGCGGAAATTACTCGGCCACGCACGCGCTTGCTCGCCAACGTGTGTGGCAATATATGACAGCAAAACAACTTACGGCAAAGCAGCTTCCGAAAACCGCTGTTATTATTGAGGCGGCCTGGGTCATTGCAGTGAAATCAGCATAGTTGTACCAAGGATTGAGAGACGGGCCTAAAGTTATCTAATACCCCTGTCAGACGGGAAAGTAAATGTCATTTTCATCGAATGTCATTCACCGCTCGGCGAATCAGCTCGTGATCCTGTTACTGCGCGTGGCGCGTGCACGCGCCGCGTGGCGTGTTAAACACGAGGATTGGCCGACCTGTAATGTCATTTTGCTTAAATCTCATTTAACGTGCCCATCTGACAGGGGTATTACTTATGCGGTTGTTTCTAAAATACAACACTGATATCCCACCCAAGATTTATATCCGGGATTTTTTTTAACTTACGGGTTATTAAGAAAAAAGTAAAAATTAAATAAAAAAAGTGTTGAAATTCACACAACCGATTTTAAATACTTGAAAAGTGTACATATTTAAAAAAATGTTTGGCGTCAGCAATAAATATTTAATCAAAGAATAGGAAGACAAAATATATAAAAATATCTAGCTTGCACTGATACATGTTTCACGTCCTTGTATTGAACGGTTCGTTTAATGAGAGAATTCAAAGTCGAGGCGAAACTGCTCCAGGTAGCATATTTGCTAGTTTATACGAAAATAACAATAAAACCTTAAATTACAGCTTTAATAATAGGGAGTTTTAGTAGAACGTTTTTTTTTCCTCCGCTAACCCTCCGCAGCGAAGAAACCGCCATTGCGCCTGCGTGCCGATGGCCTTGGCTGTAGATTTCCGGGTAGCGGAGGGGCTTAGTGGAGGGGGAAACACGGTCTACTAAAACTCCCTGATAAAAAAAGGTCTATAACATTCCCTGCATCGTTAAACTATATTAAAAGTTAAACAAAGCCATCTGTTCAAAATTGGCGTCCAAAAACTAAAAACAAAACTTTTTTTTGACACACTTGTCGTTCTGCTACTTCGAAATTTATTTTTGTGAGAATATTTTGTTAAGTATTTGTCTAAATAAAAATCATCGAAGGAATAGAAGTTCGACTAATAATACGCCTACATCAACGGCCTTTATATTTTGTTACTGTTTTTGAGACATGAGCCTAATTTCCTGCACATTTTGAAACGAAGTCGGCCAGCTTCGAAAAATATGTATTGTAATACAGCAATTCAATTTTCGAGCTCGAATGAACGGGTAACGTTTCGCCGATAAATATAGCTCGAAAACCTTGCTCTACAGATACACAAAAATTAAATTTTCTTCTTGGGACTCGGGACTATTATTTTCATCACAACCTACGCTAGGCAGCTCGACCTCAAGGACTGCCCGAAACTCCCACGGGCGCATTCTCTCTCCAGACCCCACTTTCACGTTGTATTTTATACGATAGAATAAACGCGCCCCCTATTTGATCAGTGTGTACTTTTACATAACGCATAAATTAAATTTTAAAAAATGCGCAAAAAGGGCGCCGCGCTGATGCTGATCGAGAACGCCGAACCCGAAGGACATCTGAAGAGGTGCAGGGGATTCCTTTTTAGCAAGCTTGTTTGAAGAAGAAAAAAGGGAGTGAAGAAAAACTTATATTCGACATAAGACTCACTCTGGCCAAGTCTGCCGTACGCCTCAGCCCAGACGTCTCTCTCGGCAGTCGTCAGAATGCCCACACCAACGTCCTTCTCGGGCGACATCTCCACGACTCTGATGAGTTGAGTCAGGATCCTTCTTTCGTCGTGGGGCATTCCTCGCGCATCGCACGCGTTGAAGGTGAACATCTGTGCGGAACAAAACTCGGACTCAGCCTCAGGGTTCGAATAACGAAAATGATAGTGAAAAAATTGTAAGGGTGCAGGCGAGCTGGTGGAAGTTAACCATAGTTTTGTTTAACCCGAGACTGGGGTATTTCGGAAAAGGGACGAGAAGAAAAGAGGCCACAAGGAGGCGACGTCTCAATCGAGAGTTGAGACGTCGCCTCCTTGTGGCCTCTTTTCTTCTCGTCCCTTTTCCGAAATACCCCAGTCTCGGGGTAAACAAAACTATGGTTAACGAAAATGAATAGGCGGTGTGTCACTCCGTTTTGCAAAGATCTATTTCGACGTAAAAATATGCCGTTGATGTTCCCAACCGTAGCCAGCCGCTCGCTCTCTTTTGGACAGAGGAGCCAAAGAAGTGTGGACGGCGGCGGTGACGGTGAATTTCAGCCTTCGTGCTGCTGTTAGGGCATGGCTCTGTACGGCGTGTTCGTGTACCATGCTGTTGTATTAGAAAAAGTGAGTGTGTTAAAATATAAACTGTGATCGGGGGTTTAGCAAACTGAAAAAAAAAAAATAGCGTGCTCATTTTGTTTAACGCATATCAACATCTCATCACCTGTGACATGCTCATGACCCTATCTACTTTGCATTTACATTCAAATAAATTAATTTTAGAACTTTGACCAGCGACAGTGAGCACGCACATTAAAAAAATCTGGAGAATCTTTTTATGTTTCTACCGCCGTATTGGTTCCGGCCCGCCCTCTACAGGGCGTTGTGTTTGCGAGTAAGCTATAAAATATCCAAGTCGGGAGAGACGATTGAATTTGTTTGTTTGGTCCGCATGAAGAAACTAAGCATCTAATAAGGCTGAAACTACATGTGAATGTGACGTTGCACCTGGCGATAGAATTCGAGAGTTCTGAGAACAGTGCGCTATATGATTCCAAAATTAAAACCAATAAAACTGCATATCTCTTCGGCCCCACGGCGCTCTGAGTGCACAAGATTTACAGGCCATCTGTGACGTCAATGTGTCTCCTAACGTTATTTTAAGTCCCTTGACCTTGTCATGTGACGTCTCGTAATATCGACGACCAATAGAGAAAAACGTGGTCACGTGACGAAAGGTAACCTGGCCACGTACTTCGCTAATCGTCACTTGGACTTTCTGACGCTCACTCAGTGCACGTGGCACTGACGTCACGGGATACTATGATATCCGTTTATGTGAAGTATAAGTGTGCTACAAGACACTGCGACGTCAGGACACAGCGTAGCGCCACATAAGATGTAAGGTTACGTCACGTCGCGACGTTACATAACCAAGCGACTTGACGCTAGGTGACGTCACACGTTGCATGACATAAGTGGCACGTTACGTCACAGTATATTGTAATGATAGCGTCGCGCGGCTTCAATGTATGATGCGGCACGCATGGCGTCAAAGCGTTACGCAGAGAAATGTGACCCGGGGTTATACTTTGCTAGGACTCGTCATGGTAAGACACAATTAACAAACTGTTGTGAACTCCATGATGTTATCAGCGATATGTCACCATCGATACTACATGCGAGCAGAAACCATATAGACCCGAAAGAGCTCGCACTATAAATGTCGTGCAATTGAAACTAAATGTGTCCATGAGTCGGCTTCTGCTTAGGCTAAATATTCGTCAAAACTGAAGAAACCGCATTTCCGGATCCTGCGGAATTTACTTCAGTGCGACAATCGTCGGAACGAGGAACACTTTTTTTTTCTGGCTAACTGCTGTATTTATTTTTTTTTACGGCAATAAATGTTGCAGGCACTCGAAATACGTTTTCTCGTTTTACAAACATTTGACTGGGGTCGACGTCGGCTAATAAAAAATATCGTTTTTCAGCTTCACCTTATGATCAAGGTGAGTTCCTGTACACAGCATTACGCGTTTTATCGCCATCGCAAGAGTAAATTCACAGAGAGTTTCAGCGTTCTAAAACATAATTTATTTTTGCGGGAAGAAAAACTAGTCTTTTACATTGTTTCCAGGCCGCGGTATGTGGAGGTTCCGATACAATCGTCACATTACCGGCAGTTTTCCTGCGATACGGGCAGTTTTCTTCGGACGTCTAGTCAAAGCTGAAAGGCACTCATTGGTTAAATTTTGTTTTAGGCTCGATACTAGTTTGAAGAAAAAAATTGGGTTGTGTGTAAGTTTATACAGCCTAACAGGAAGAACCATTTTCTGATGCTCCTCCTGTAAGTTTGAATTTTTTCGATTTTCGCTAATTTTCTCGTCATGGAGGCTCCTATTGCAAAGGACGCGTCAGCCAGTGCTCCACGAAAAGATCAATGTGGATCCTGTGCAGCTCGCTTGTACCCAAAGCAGCAATACCTTGTCTGCTCTGCTGGCTGCGACAGAAAATTCCACTGCAGATGCTTAAACGTCGGCCTCGAAGAATACAATATCTTCATGAAATCTGGAACCAGCACCTTTAAATGCATGGGTTGTACCCGGCGGCACAGTAAGCCACCAAAAGACTAGGTTGACCAACCAGATACGCCAAATGACAACTTGACGAACGCTTCCACGGGTGAGCCAGCGGCAGCACACGATGACCTTTACGTCCCCGCCGGTTTGCTGCGCGTGATCGACAGTATGACAAGAAAAATGAATATCCTGACCGCCGAGTTGAAATGCCTCAGAACTGAAAACCAACACCTTCGCTCCGAAGTGCAGCAACTCCGGAAGAACGTAGTGGATCGTCTCCAATTCCCGTCTTCACCGCCTCAGCTTTATGCTACTACTGCCGCCCCGACATCCCGCGTGCCTTCGGCGGCGAGCAAGGCGTCGTTTGCACCACCCGCCCTTGCACACCCGAACAACTGGCCTTCTCTTCCACGCTCGAACTTTACACCTCTCGAGGAACCTGTCCTTCTTCCACCACCGTCAGGTTCTCGTGGTGGGAACGATCCGCATCCCGTGAGCTTGACGAATGACGGCTTCACAGAGGTCAAGCCTCGACGACGTGGCAAGCCTTCTACTGGCACTGCTAAATCAGACACTGTGCAGGCTGTTGCTAGGCCCCAGCGACGAATGGCACATTTTGTATCTCAACTTCGACCGAATACGTCGGTTGCCGATGTCCAGGCGCTTGTCGAGCCGTTCCTAGACGGGAAGTCAATTGTCTGTTCCAAAATGGTAACTCGATTTCCCTCGTATTCTTCCTCTCATTTGTCTTGTGAGCAGGCCGTGTTTGAAGCCATTAACAAACCGGAAGTTTGGCCGGAGGGCAGCATTTTCCACCAGTTCGTTGGCCAGCTTGACCATGCTCGTACTTATCCCCTCGAAACGACATCAGATGTAAATGTCGGAAGTGCTCAGTATTTTTTTCCAAAATGCTCGAGGACTTCGCACAAAGGCTGATGAGTTTATGTCTAATCTTATTACTGCACACTTTGACGTTATTTATTTATCGGAAACGTGGCTCTGCGATGGCATTCCGAATTTGAATTACTTCACACCCAACTACAATGTCTACCGCCGCGACAGAGACTACATAAGCACGGGGCAAAAGCTAGGTGGTGGCGTATTGATTGCGCTTCACTCTTCGTTTGGGTCACATCGAAGGTTCGACCTAGAATCATACTCAGAATGCTTATGGGTAGAAATTAAAAACGCGAATGGTTTTAATTACCTTTTTGGAAACTACTATTTTCCACCACTATGCGATCCCTCAATTTTTATCAAACAACTTGAAACGCTGGAACAACAAGTAAACTTCGATAGGTACAGAGTTCAAATGTACGGGGACTTTAACCTTCCGGAATTAGATTGTTCATTGGACGCTATAAACGGTGGCGACTTAATCACATAAAATAAGGCAGCTGGGTTGTTATCGTTTATACATTTTTGTGGGCTGAATCAGCTTAACAGTTTCGAAAACTCCGCGAAAACAGACCCTCCGCTACAGTTACCCTAAAGGAGATTATTTGCGAATGTATAAATACCTTCACAATTATAACTGGAGCGCTGTTCTTTCAACAGATGACACCAATCTCGCAACAGAAGCGTTTACGTCAGTTGCGCAAGACGCGATTAGCCTTTTTGTTCCAAAACGCAATTCTCAACTTTCCAAATACCCGGACTGGTTTTCTCATGATTTAAAAATGTACCTTAAGAAAAAAGATAATTTTTATAGAATTAAAAAAAAAAAAACAGGCTCTAGCTTCTGGTACACTCAATTTAGTATTTATCGTTCACTCGTGAAAAAATTGCACTCGAGCGATAAGCAGTTACATCTTGATGATGTCGAGCGCAGTCTGAACCGCCGCCCCGAAATTTTCTGGAAGTTTGCAAAGCAGCACACTCGTAACAATTCACATAAAATTTCACTGCGGGATTGTTCTACTAGAAACACTACGTATTTTTCGTCCCCACCAGAGGTGGCAGACCGTTTTGCAGACTATTTTAGTCAATGCTATACAGTTGGTCAGTCAACTATTCAGCCTATTGACAGAAAAGTAAACTGTCTGGATGTTTTATCGGGCTTCAGAGTCGATACGGATGAAATTGAGGAAGGTATCAGAAAACTTAAACCGAAGTTATCTACTGGAGTAGATTGTATTCCGAGCTCTATAATCAAAGGTTGTGGTGCCCTATTCGCACCGATTTTAAAACACATTTTCAACTTGTCACTTCACTCTGGAGTGTTCCCATCGTTATGGAAGAAAGCGGTTGTCCTGCCAATATTAAAGGGGGGCGATTATCGGTTGTCAGTAATTATCGGCCTGTTTCTTTATTGTGCGGCTTTTCTACGGTGTTTGAGAAAGTTATTTATAAACGAATAACTCATTACTTTCATCAAAAATTAACGCCTTCGCAGCACGGGTTAATTACGGGACGGTCAGTTGAATCCAACTTGTGCTCCTTTTTAGATTTCGCTGCACCAATTGTTACCAACAGGGGACAGGTCATTTGACATGTCTAAAGCATTCGATAAAGTTGATCATGAACTATTGCTCCACAAATTATCGT